CTCGTGCGCCTTCCTCCTGCATGCGCAGCAGCGTAGCAGGGTCCATTAGGTATGAGAGCGTCTTGCGTCAAGGGTTACGTAAGAAATTTTTATTTATATTAGCTAAGTTGAAACAGAAAACTGGAAGCAGGATACAGATAAGAGGAGACAAGGGAGCGTTCCACCCTCCTTTTCCTGCCTTTTGCGAGGGTGTGAAGCAGTATGCAGTGCCGAGCACTGCAGTTTGGGGCTCCTTCGCAGCACTCGCGTAGCGCGCGTTGCGAAGGAGTGTTGTACACGCAGGCAGGGGTCTAAAGTGGAGAGTTAGTCTTGGGGGAGGTAAAGCGGTGCGCTGTAAACAAGGGGGCAGGAAACAGATAATATATTAAGAAAAAATCAGCAGTTTTTTTATTTATTTCAGCATAGCTACGTTAATGTACAAATGTTACAGTATTTATTTTATTTAACAGTTTTTTTCCTTGCTGCTTTTTAGTTCTGCAGAATTTTCGTATTCAGAACTGCTGGTATTGCTCGAGCTCCGCAGGGGTCGCGAAGGGCGAGCAAGACCCTGCGGAGCTCTGCGTTCCCGTAGCGCGCCTAGTGCTAAAGCAGACATCGCTCCACGCCTGCGGAGCGGTGGTTCTGCTTTAGCATACTTCGGAGCAGGCGGCGTGCATGCCCCTCCCGCCCTACGTCCCCCTGTATGCGCAGCTGCGGAGTGCAGTCCAGCTAGGCAAACCCACTGTGACACTGAGGGGTGATCAGGTTCCAATTTTCAAATCTAATCTAGCATCTAACATCTAGCATCTAGGATCTAGGTTGAATATTTCGAGACGTGTTCTGCCACTGCCAGCTCACGGGGTGGAGGGGGGGTCGCGAAGCGCCTAACCTGTTTTTATAAAAAACCTTTTATTTAGTAAATATACTATTAAAAGACTGCCTTTGTTTATTAGGGTGATAAAGCTAATTTTATTGTTAAGATTAATTAACCCTTAATATTTCAAAAAAAAAAATAAAGAATAAAAATTTAAATTAATAAAAAATATGAAAATAAATAATTATAATGATTTCATTCAATTAAATAAGGCCGAGGCGTTGAACCTTTCGAACTTTTCGAATCCTATTATCAGAGGGTCACGGAGCACGGCAGGGATCAATCCAGATCAGTTAATCACCGCATTAGAGAGTCAAATTAATAATCCTCAACCTCCTCTAGTATTGTCTCAAAATTTATCTCCTGTAACATCAGCTCCTACTAATACGCCAGCAGAGCACAGCACTCTAGCGGAAGCAGCTATCGAAAAAATAAGAGGAGATGAACTACCTAACAAATTACTGGAATATTTTAAAGTTCATCAAGGAGGAGATGGTGCTGGCGCTCTAGTAAAAACCGAAGCTATTGCAGATACTGCAAATGGGCCATTAGATCAATTTAATGTTACATCTTTAATAGGTCTAAAATTTGATATTTTAGGTAATTTTTATTTAGCTATTACAAATATTTCTTTATATTTAACTTTAGTTTTATTTGTAATTATTTCAATTTTTTATTTTGGAAATAATGATTCAAAATTAGTACCTAATAAATGATCGATACTATTAGAAACTTTTTTTGCTAGTATAAAAGGGATCGTTAAAGATCAAATAGGGTCAACGTATGAAGTATACCTTCCTTTAATTTTCGCTATCTTTTTTTTTTTTTAACTGGTAATTTAATATCTAATATTCCTTATTCATTTGCTGCTAATGCCAGTGCGGTTGTTTCAATTGGGTATAGTTTAACATTTTTACAGGCTGTAACAATAAATTCTTTATTTAGACACGGTAAAAAATTTTTTAGAAATTTTATCCCTGAAGGAACTCCTTTGGCTTTAGTACCTTTATTAGTAGCTATTGAATTTATCTCTTACACTGCCAAAGGGTTTTCATTAGGAGTTCGTATGTTTGCTAATTTATTTTCAGGTCACTGTTTATAGCAATTTTATCTGCATTTGGTAATCAATTATTAAGTGTTAGTTGAACAACTGCTAGTTTAACTGTGATATTTGCTTTACCTATTTTCTTAGCTATTATTGGATTAGAAATAGCTGTTTCATTTATACAATCTTTTGTATTATCATTATTAAGTAGTTCTTATATAAGAGAATCTGTAGTTCTTCACTAATATTATATATTATTGGATACTATGGCTAGCGGCGCCCTTGCTCCAGCAGGCACTTTGCTCCGCCCTGCGGCGTGCTACTGGACCGTACACTAAAGCAGTCCACCCTGCCGCGTGCTGAAGGTCCGCAGGTTGCTAAAGCAGCGCCCTGCGGAGTGGTTTAAGCTAAAAATTTAAAAAAGTTACCCCCTTTATTGCGAATTATCCTAATAAAGAAGCTGAAACAGCAAAGCCCAGCCTTCCGCAGTCTGCTTCTACTTTAGCACAAGGGGGCTTCGCAGCACTCCTGGTAGGCGCCTACTTCCAGCACCTCGCGCTTCGCTCCTGCGGGGCGCAGCACTGCGGGCCGCAGCACTGCAGGCTGCGGAGTGGTTCCCCGTAGCTAAAGCAGCAGGGGGTTTGCACGCTTCGCCTTTACGCCCTGCGCTCCGAACCCTGGCAGACTGACTAGAGGTATCCGACTCTCTTTATTTCACTTTCACCCCTCTTAAGATATTAATACAGCGGTGTGTTGATACTTTTTAATTTACATAAGTATAAATTAAAAAAAAGACATTTTCAATTTTCGCAGAGCTGGTTCCCTCCTATAGGTTGTGGACGCGGTAGCGTAATCGCTCCCTGATTGCTCTCTCTCGGCCAGCCAGCGGACCGCAATCCGCAGGAGCGTACGCGGGGGAGGGGTCCGGAAAAAAAAAAGAAGATATTAATTAATAGTTAAAACTGTTATATAAAGAGTGTAGTATAATTGGTTAATATGGCGATCTCCAAAATCGCAGTAAGGTGTTCGAAACGCCTCACTCTTGAAAATTAATGATGAAGAAGCTCAGGCCTCTGCTGTCTTACAGCTAGCATCTCCTTCGGACCCTTCCACCCGCGCACGCGCTTTGCGACTGCAGTGCTAAAGCAGAACCACTGCACCCCTCTAAACCCTATTGCTAATACTAAACTTAACTCAACCGTGCAATCCCGCGAATCACCCTTGCGGTACTTCAACTATCGGAGTCAGCAGTCGCTTTCCCCCGCTCCCGCCGCGCTTCGCGACTGCGGAGGATGGGCGCGTTCGCCTCCTTCCTGTAGAGGAGTGCAAGCAGCTTTGCAGCTTCGCAACTCGTAGGCTTACCGAAGAAAGAGTGCTGCTTTAGCATGCTGCGACACCTCGGCTTATATAAACAAATATGGAGTTATACTTAAAGTTACCTCTTCACACCTACCATGTTTAATTGCTACGTTGTATAATCCTTACCGTCTTCACCCCCCCTTCGGTCGCTCCACAGGGGGCGCTCCGCTGGAGGAGAGGGGGTGAATAATCGGCTAACACCCCCTTGCGAGGGGAGGGCGGTTGCAGGGGCAGCGCACCTTTTCGACCCATCAGTCGGCTTTGCCGCCTGTCGCAGCTCGTAAAAGCAGCCTTGGAGGGAGGGGGAGAGGTATTGCGAACAGAGGCCTCTTATTAAGTACAAAGCATTGATCGAACTCTAACCTAAAGACTGAAAGGGAGATTCCCTCAGAGAGCAGGAGCGCACAGCTCAACGCCTCCTGCGCTAAAGCACTAACCCTTTAAATCAGTGCAGCCTAGCATGCTGCTTCGAAGCCGTGAAGGGGAGCGGGTTACACCCCTGGGTGGGAGGCAGAGGCTTGCAACTACTGATTTAAAGGTAGGACAGTTAACTTTAAGTAAAGAGCTCGCAATCTGAAAAATTTGTTTTTAATTCAGGGGCTGCGCTGCTTTAGCTGGCTGCCGCAAAGCGCGGCTGGGGGCAGCAGGGTCGGACCGAAGGGCGCATGCGTGACTGCGGAGCGGAGGGCTAAGTTTAAAGTTATAAAAAAAAGCTGCATCTAGTTGACGGCTGCGCAGCACTGCGGGTTATTTTTAAACTAATTAGAACTATAATTTTAGCGCTTCGCTCCTGCGGCCTGCGGCCTGCTACCCTCCGCACCGTCCTCCCCCTGCCAGCCGCAGTATCCGCAGGCGGTGCGCACGAAGCAGGAGCGACGCTCGTGCAAGCAATGCTGTCCAAACCTCCGCACCCCGAGCAGCAGGACTGCGCTTTAGATACTTTGGACGAGGAGTCGCTCGATACCGAGGGGAACAGGGCAGCTATACTCCCATCCACGGCAGGCTTCCCTTTTAGCTACCTAACCCTGTCCCGCGCTTTGCTCCCTTCAGGCGCGCATGCAGCAGCTTCGCACATAAGCGTCGCCAGCGGAACGGTGACGTGAAGAAGGCTGGTGCGGACGGTTCGAGGGGATGTGGTGTGGAGGATTGCTGCAATAGTCATTTAAATAAAGGTTTGTTTAGCGCAATTGAGTTTAAAACAAGTGCTGCGCCGCGCAGCACTGCTTGCAGCTTCGCTACCTTGCAGGTTACTAAAGCAGTGCTAAAGCAAGACTAAAGCAGGAAGGTCAGAATTCGGATCCGGAGTACAGCACTGCTCAGAAAGGGTCACGCGCGCCCTGCGGAGCGACAGCGGAGAGCTACTATACACCCTTCCGCAGGCGGGTGCGAGTGCTGAGCAGTTGTGCGGAAGGAATATTGTATATTATGTCCAGTAAGTAACACTCCGCATGTAGTCAATATATTGTAAGGTCAAGCACTATGAGCTACCACCCCTCAGAGGGCAGTGCTCCGCAGGACCGTGCACTTCTTTAGCTAGCGCTACAGTGCTAAAACAGAATCAGACAACGGGGGGCAAGATAGGGGGGCGGATTATACAATCCGCAGTGCGCAGCAGCGAAGCGTGTATCCCATCCTTTCTTTAGCCTAGTAGCGCTTTAGTAGTAGTATGTAGGAACTAGGACTTCAACTAATTTAAGAAAATTAAATCTTTTGTTAACGTAGGGGAAAAGGGGGTATCTGTATCATATAGTTTAATGTTTAATAACAGGCTTCATAAAGTTAAAGGTTAACCTAAAGGAGGGCAGTTAATTTGTTAAACAAATTAGCGCATGCAGCAGCGCGCGCTTCGCGATGCAGGGCAGGCCCTTCTCGCGCTTTCCTGCTGCCTCCCTCCAGCGACCTGCGCTGGCCTCCCTGCTGCCCGCGCTTCGCTCCTGCGGCCCGCAGCACTGCGCCCTGCGGAGCGTATGGATAGAAGGCGGGTGCAGTTGCTAAAGCAAACCATAAGCCCTTGCGTGTTTGCGAAGCAGGTGTGCGTAGCTCGTGCATGCGGTCCTATGCTGCGAAGCGCGAAGCAGAGCATGAAATACGGACTAGGGCTAGTCGCTGAGGGCAGTGAGTGTACTACTTAATAAAAATTACTGAGGAGCATAACTTCCCCGCCCCGCCGCGCTTCGCGACTGCGGAGGACAGCTGCGCAACCGAAGGACCGCATGCCCCTAGTTCCAGCATGCGCAGCTGCAAAGCTGCTGAGGAGGGTGGCAAAACCGATAAGCAGTGCTGCGCCTATTCGTTACCTTGAGTTTTACTTTGAAAATTAGCTAGTGCTATAGCATCATTTCCTATTTCTAATGCGAAACCTGCAGTAAGTATCACTAAAAATATACCAAATACCGAAAGACCAAATATAGAAACTCCTTGCATAGTTACAGCATAAGGTATTAAATATATAAGTTCCAGATCAAAGGCTAAAAATAACATAGCTACTACCCAGAAATGTACCAAAAATGGATTACGAGTTTGATTAGGCAATACTATAAAACCACACTCATAAGAAGATAATTTAGAATCGTAAGGTTTTTTTGAAGCTAATAATCAATTTAAACCTAGAATTATTAAAGCTAAAATTGGTACGAAAATAAATAGTATTATTAAATTATTATTAATAGTATAAATTTCATTATAAATTAAAAAGCGATAAAGATAGCACTCGTGTACTTGTTAAAATTAGATCAGGGTTTAAAAAAAATAAAAATAAAAATAAAGATAGCACAGATATTATTAAACTATGTAAATTAGTTAGAAGTGTCCCCGAATTTGTATTTATTTCTGCCATATCGGCTCCTCGTCCAAGGCTGCTAAACCAAGGCTGTCCAGCTCTAGTAGGCTCGCACTCCGCGACTGCGGACGGTTGTAAATCGTGGCCTTCAACTGTAAATAATACTTTAATAACCCTTAAATAATAATAAGCACTTATAACACTTACTATGATTGCTATTATAGCTATAAAATACTCATATACTGTTATTGCAGAAAATAAAACAAATAATTTAGAATAAAACCCTATAAAGGGAGGTATTCCACCCATAGATAATAAACAAATTATAAAACTAACAGTTAAAATAGGATTTTTACTGTATTGTCCAGTTAATTCTGAGATATACTTAATATCTTTAATTACTAAGTTTTTGTTATTATAGTTGCGTCCGAAGGAGAATTCTCCTGCTGCGTAGCTGCGAAGCTGGTCAGAGCTCCCAGAGGCAAAAGAGGTAAGTAAATAATTAAAAGCAATTATTATTAAGAAAACATTTAAGTTAGTAATAGTATATTGTAAAATATAAAATAAAAAGGAATCTAAGGATTCTTGTGTATTTATGCTTAAAGATAATAATATAAATCCTAAATGTGATATTGTACTATATGCTAGTAGTCTTTTTATTTGTGACTGTGCTAAACCTAAAACTGTTCCTATTACTAAAGATAATAAAGAACCAATAAATAGTAAATTATACAATGCTACACTACCTCCTCCTGTTAATTCATATGTACTAAAAAAAATATTTCAAAACTCAGCTTGCGGTTTATTAATATAGATAGGATAAATAATATTATTAATTACCGATTCTAAAGTATAAATAACATACTCCTGAGCTAGAAATGCCACTGGTATATTTATTTCTGCATTAGGACTGGCTATATAAGATTCATAGTTTTCCACCCCTCCAAAAGTATCTAAAAAGTTTAAAATACCATTTACTACTAACGAATATTCCAAATTAGAATTCAGGAGAGTTAAGTAAGGACTATAAGTATGTATTAAACCTTCGAAACTATCTATTTGTAAATATAATTCTAATAATAAAATTAATATTGATAATTTTGGCATAATAGTTAACCAAATTGTTACTATCGTAGGAGTATCTGCATAAACATCTGGTGATCAATTATGCAAAGGAGCTGCTCCTATTTTAAATAAAAACCCAATAAATATTAATAATACACCTAATGTAAACTGAGTATGATCTACTGAGGAGTCTAAATCGGAGATTAAAATATAAATTGAATCAAATTTAGTTAAACCACTAAATGAATAAATTAAAGCAGATCCTAATAAAATAAAACATGAAGATAATGCACCTAATAAAAAATATTTCAATCCTGCAGCTGTTACAATTCTAGATTCTTTATAAAAAGTAGCTAAAATATATAAAGCAAAGGATTGTAGTTCTATACTTAAATATAAAGAAATTAAATCAAAAGAGGAAATTAACAATAAAGCTCCAAATAAATTAAAAAAAATAAGCATAGTATAATCTTTAGATTTTTCAAAATAATTTTGAAATATATTTATTAAATGTCCTCCTTCTGATTTTTCTGCTTTAGCTTGAACTGAATTATACCCTTGCAGCGAAGCTTCACCCAGCGCGCCCTGTTTATCCGCAAGCGCGTAGTCCGCTTGCGCACCAAACCCGCGAGAGCTGATCCCTGAAGCAGGGGCAGCAGTCGCTGCTCCGATGGCGCTGCGCGTAGTTATATTTAATATAGGTAGAGCAGGTCAAGATACTAAGATTAAAGCTCCTATCACTAATATAAATATTTCTATAAATATAGATATTTGAGTTATTTGAAATAAACCATTATAAATAGATATTCCTTCACCTATTTGAGGTTGACCTAGTACAGTCCCTCCTCCATGTAAAGTTACCAAAGCAGTTAAAAGTAACCCAATTACTGATGTTCTAGTATAGAATATAAAGCTCTTTTTTGTGTATAAGTTCCTAAATACTGCGGTTCCTATTTTTTTCTCATTAAATTTTTATTTAGTTCCGGTAAGGTTCTAATGGCTATAAAGGTTAAAATTATGATTAATACCATCCTTTTAGTACTACTTTTGTAAGTTTTAAAAAGGGCCCGACCCCCTCCTCGCGCTTCGCTCCCGCCGCGCTTCGCGACTGCGGAGGAAGGGCGCGCATGCAGGAGCTTCGCGATGCAGGCCCTCGCGCTCCTCTGCTTCACGGTTCGGTGCTAAAGCAGAAGAAGTTCCCCCCCCCTCCTGCAGGCGAAGCTCCGCTGTCGCGCCTCCATCCGCAGGTGGAGGATGCTAAAGCAGCGAGGGGAGGCCGAGGCAGGGCGCAGTGCTGCGGGCCGCAGGAGCGAAGCGCGGGAGGGGGAGCGCGAAGCGAGAGCATGGCGGCCTGCAGCTCCTCCGGCCCTGCTGACAGACGCGGAGGGCCAGAAGCAACGTGTTGTCCGCAAGATGCTAAGCAGCGCGAGGAGCGCCGCTCGTGATCCTCGGGAGCCCAAGGGTAGGCAGAGGGCGCAGGTTTGCTTTAGTAGCAAGCGCTCCGCTGGTGGCGCCGCGCGCAGAGCGCGCTACGCGAGAGCAGCGACTGCGACCTGCGGAGCCTCGACAGCGTAGGGGCAGGACGCTGCACTAAATCTAAATAAAGGTAGGCTAGATAAAAGGTTAAAAAATATTTAAAATATTTTTTAACCTTTTATCTAGCCTACCCTTTATTTAGATTTAGTGCAGCGTCCTGCCCCTACGCTGTCGAGGCTCCGCAGGTCGCAGTCGCTGCTCTCGCGTAGCGCGCTCTGCGCGCGGCGCCACCAGCGGAGCGCTTGCTACTAAAGCAAACCTGCGCCCTCTGCCTACCTTGGGCTCCGAGGATCACGAGCGGCGCTCCTCGCGCTGCTTTAGCATCTTGCGGACAACACGTTGCTTCTGGCCCTCCGCGTCTGTCAGCAGGGCCGGAGGAGCTGCAGGCCGCCATGCTCTCGCTTCGCGCTCCCCCTCCCGCGCTTCGCTCCTGCGGCCCGCAGCACTGCGCCCTGCCTCGGCCTCCCCTCGCTGCTTAGCATCCTCCACCTGCGGATGGAGGCGCGACAGCGGAGCTTCGCCTGCAGGAGGGGGGAGGGGAACTTCTTCTGCTTTAGCACCGAACCGTGAAGCAGAGGAGCGCGAGGGGCCTGCATCGCGAAGCTCCTGCATGCGCGCCCTTCCTCCGCAGTCGCGAAGCGCGGCGGGAGCGAAGCGCGAGGAGGGGGTCGGGCCCTTTTTAAAAACTTACAAAAGTAGTACTAAAAGGATGGTATTAATCATAATTTTAACCTTTATAGCCATTAGAACCTTACCGGAACTAAATAAAAATTTAAATGAGAAAAAAATAGGAACCGCAGTATTTAGGAACTTATACACAAAAAAGAGCTTTATATTCTATACTAGAACATCAGTAATTGGGTTACTTTTAACTGCTTTGGTAACTTTACATGGAGGAGGGACTGTACTAGGTCAACCTCAAATAGGTGAAGGAATATCTATTTATAATGGTTTATTTCAAATAACTCAAATATCTATATTTATAGAAATATTTATATTAGTGATAGGAGCTTTAATCTTAGTATCTTGACCTGCTCTACCTATATTAAATATAACTACGCGCAGCGCCATCGGAGCAGCGACTGCTGCCCCTGCTTCAGGGATCAGCTCTCGCGGGTTTGGTGCGCAAGCGGACTACGCGCTTGCGGATAAACAGGGCGCGCTGGGTGAAGCTTCGCTGCAAGGGTATAATTCAGTTCAAGCTAAAGCAGAAAAATCAGAAGGAGGACATTTAATAAATATATTTCAAAATTATTTTGAAAAATCTAAAGATTATACTATGCTTATTTTTTTTAATTTATTTGGAGCTTTATTGTTAATTTCCTCTTTTGATTTAATTTCTTTATATTTAAGTATAGAACTACAATCCTTTGCTTTATATATTTTAGCTACTTTTTATAAAGAATCTAGAATTGTAACAGCTGCAGGATTGAAATATTTTTTATTAGGTGCATTATCTTCATGTTTTATTTTATTAGGATCTGCTTTAATTTATTCATTTAGTGGTTTAACTAAATTTGATTCAATTTATATTTTAATCTCCGATTTAGACTCCTCAGTAGATCATACTCAGTTTACATTAGGTGTATTATTAATATTTATTGGGTTTTTATTTAAAATAGGAGCAGCTCCTTTGCATAATTGATCACCAGATGTTTATGCAGATACTCCTACGATAGTAACAATTTGGTTAACTATTATGCCAAAATTATCAATATTAATTTTATTATTAGAATTATATTTACAAATAGATAGTTTCGAAGGTTTAATACATACTTATAGTCCTTACTTAACTCTCCTGAATTCTAATTTGGAATATTCGTTAGTAGTAAATGGTATTTTAAACTTTTTAGATACTTTTGGAGGGGTGGAAAACTATGAATCTTATATAGCCAGTCCTAATGCAGAAATAAATATACCAGTGGCATTTCTAGCTCAGGAGTATGTTATTTATACTTTAGAATCGGTAATTAATAATATTATTTATCCTATCTATATTAATAAACCGCAAGCTGAGTTTTGAAATATTTTTTTTAGTACATATGAATTAACAGGAGGAGGTAGTGTAGCATTGTATAATTTACTATTTATTGGTTCTTTATTATCTTTAGTAATAGGAACAGTTTTAGGTTTAGCACAGTCACAAATAAAAAGACTACTAGCATATAGTACAATATCACATTTAGGATTATATTATTATCTTTAAGCATAAATACACAAGAATCCTTAGATTCCTTTTTATTTTATATTTTACAATATACTATTACTAACTTAAATGTTTTCTTAATAATAATTGCTTTTAATTATTTACTTACCTCTTTTGCCTCTGGGAGCTCTGACCAGCTTCGCAGCTACGCAGCAGGAGAATTCTCCTTCGGACGCAACTATAATAACAAAAACTTAGTAATTAAAGATATTAAGTATATCTCAGAATTAACTGGACAATACAGTAAAAATCCTATTTTAACTGTTAGTTTTATAATTTGTTTATTATCTATGGGTGGAATACCTCCCTTTATAGGGTTTTATTCTAAATTATTTGTTTTATTTTCTGCAATAACAGTATATGAGTATTTTATAGCTATAATAGCAATCATAGTAAGTGTTATAAGTGCTTATTATTATTTAAGGGTTATTAAAGTATTATTTACAGTTGAAGGCCACGATTTACAACCGTCCGCAGTCGCGGAGTGCGAGCCTACTAGAGCTGGACAGCCTTGGTTTAGCAGCCTTGGACGAGGAGCCGATATGGCAGAAATAAATACAAATTCGGGGACACTTCTAACTAATTTACATAGTTTAATAATATCTGTGCTATCTTTATTTTTATTTTTATTTTTTTAAACCCTGATCTAATTTTAACAAGTACACGAGTGCTATCTTTATCGCTTTTTAATTTATAATGAAATTTATACTATTAAATAATAATTTAATAATACTATTTATTTTCGTACCAATTTTAGCTTTAATAATTCTAGGTTTAAATTGATTATTAGCTTCAAAAAAACCTTACGATTCTAAATTATCTTCTTATGAGTGTGGTTTTATAGTATTGCCTAATCAAACTCGTAATCCATTTTTGGTACATTTCTGGGTAGTAGCTATGTTATTTTTAGCCTTTGATCTGGAACTTATATATTTAATACCTTATGCTGTAACTATGCAAGGAGTTTCTATATTTGGTCTTTCGGTATTTGGTATATTTTTAGTGATACTTACTGCAGGTTTCGCATTAGAAATAGGAAATGATGCTATAGCACTAGCTAATTTTCAAAGTAAAACTCAAGGTAACGAATAGGCGCAGCACTGCTTATCGGTTTTGCCACCCTCCTCAGCAGCTTTGCAGCTGCGCATGCTGGAACTAGGGGCATGCGGTCCTTCGGTTGCGCAGCTGTCCTCCGCAGTCGCGAAGCGCGGCGGGGCGGGGAAGTTATGCTCCTCAGTAATTTTTATTAAGTAGTACACTCACTGCCCTCAGCGACTAGCCCTAGTCCGTATTTCATGCTCTGCTTCGCGCTTCGCAGCATAGGACCGCATGCACGAGCTACGCACACCTGCTTCGCAAACACGCAAGGGCTTATGGTTTGCTTTAGCAACTGCACCCGCCTTCTATCCATACGCTCCGCAGGGCGCAGTGCTGCGGGCCGCAGGAGCGAAGCGCGGGCAGCAGGGAGGCCAGCGCAGGTCGCTGGAGGGAGGCAGCAGGAAAGCGCGAGAAGGGCCTGCCCTGCATCGCGAAGCGCGCGCTGCTGCATGCGCTAATTTGTTTAACAAATTAACTGCCCTCCTTTAGGTTAACCTTTAACTTTATGAAGCCTGTTATTAAACATTAAACTATATGATACAGATACCCCCTTTTCCCCTACGTTAACAAAAGATTTAATTTTCTTAAATTAGTTGAAGTCCTAGTTCCTACATACTACTACTAAAGCGCTACTAGGCTAAAGAAAGGATGGGATACACGCTTCGCTGCTGCGCACTGCGGATTGTATAATCCGCCCCCCTATCTTGCCCCCCGTTGTCTGATTCTGTTTTAGCACTGTAGCGCTAGCTAAAGAAGTGCACGGTCCTGCGGAGCACTGCCCTCTGAGGGGTGGTAGCTCATAGTGCTTGACCTTACAATATATTGACTACATGCGGAGTGTTACTTACTGGACATAATATACAATATTCCTTCCGCACAACTGCTCAGCACTCGCACCCGCCTGCGGAAGGGTGTATAGTAGCTCTCCGCTGTCGCTCCGCAGGGCGCGCGTGACCCTTTCTGAGCAGTGCTGTACTCCGGATCCGAATTCTGACCTTCCTGCTTTAGTCTTGCTTTAGCACTGCTTTAGTAACCTGCAAGGTAGCGAAGCTGCAAGCAGTGCTGCGCGGCGCAGCACTTGTTTTAAACTCAATTGCGCTAAACAAACCTTTATTTAAATGACTATTGCAGCAATCCTCCACACCACATCCCCTCGAACCGTCCGCACCAGCCTTCTTCACGTCACCGTTCCGCTGGCGACGCTTATGTGCGAAGCTGCTGCATGCGCGCCTGAAGGGAGCAAAGCGCGGGACAGGGTTAGGTAGCTAAAAGGGAAGCCTGCCGTGGATGGGAGTATAGCTGCCCTGTTCCCCTCGGTATCGAGCGACTCCTCGTCCAAAGTATCTAAAGCGCAGTCCTGCTGCTCGGGGTGCGGAGGTTTGGACAGCATTGCTTGCACGAGCGTCGCTCCTGCTTCGTGCGCACCGCCTGCGGATACTGCGGCTGGCAGGGGGAGGACGGTGCGGAGGGTAGCAGGCCGCAGGCCGCAGGAGCGAAGCGCTAAAATTATAGTTCTAATTAGTTTAAAAATAACCCGCAGTGCTGCGCAGCCGTCAACTAGATGCAGCTTTTTTTTATAACTTTAAACTTAGCCCTCCGCTCCGCAGTCACGCATGCGCCCTTCGGTCCGACCCTGCTGCCCCCAGCCGCGCTTTGCGGCAGCCAGCTAAAGCAGCGCAGCCCCTGAATTAAAAACAAATTTTTCAGATTGCGAGCTCTTTACTTAAAGTTAACTGTCCTACCTTTAAATCAGTAGTTGCAAGCCTCTGCCTCCCACCCAGGGGTGTAACCCGCTCCCCTTCACGGCTTCGAAGCAGCATGCTAGGCTGCACTGATTTAAAGGGTTAGTGCTTTAGCGCAGGAGGCGTTGAGCTGTGCGCTCCTGCTCTCTGAGGGAATCTCCCTTTCAGTCTTTAGGTTAGAGTTCGATCAATGCTTTGTACTTAATAAGAGGCCTCTGTTCGCAATACCTCTCCCCCTCCCTCCAAGGCTGCTTTTACGAGCTGCGACAGGCGGCAAAGCCGACTGATGGGTCGAAAAGGTGCGCTGCCCCTGCAACCGCCCTCCCCTCGCAAGGGGGTGTTAGCCGATTATTCACCCCCTCTCCTCCAGCGGAGCGCCCCCTGTGGAGCGACCGAAGGGGGGGTGAAGACGGTAAGGATTATACAACGTAGCAATTAAACATGGTAGGTGTGAAGAGGTAACTTTAAGTATAACTCCATATTTGTTTATATAAGCCGAGGTGTCGCAGCATGCTAAAGCAGCACTCTTTCTTCGGTAAGCCTACGAGTTGCGAAGCTGCAAAGCTGCTTGCACTCCTCTACAGGAAGGAGGCGAACGCGCCCATCCTCCGCAGTCGCGAAGCGCGGCGGGAGCGGGGGAAAGCGACTGCTGACTCCGATAGTTGAAGTACCGCAAGGGTGATTCGCGGGATTGCACGGTTGAGTTAAGTTTAGTATTAGCAATAGGGTTTAGAGGGGTGCAGTGGTTCTGCTTTAGCACTGCAGTCGCAAAGCGCGTGCGCGGGTGGAAGGGTCCGAAGGAGATGCTAGCTGTAAGACAGCAGAGGCCTGAGCTTCTTCATCATTAATTTTCAAGAGTGAGGCGTTTCGAACACCTTACTGCGATTTTGGAGATCGCCATATTAACCAATTATACTACACTCTTTATATAACAGTTTTAACTATTAATTAATATCTTCTTTTTTTTTCCGGACCCCTCCCCCGCGTACGCTCCTGCGGATTGCGGTCCGCTGGCTGGCCGAGA